ACTCCAAATGGGTCAGTGAGACAGCAATTTCCTCTACTTCCAGTGCCGTATGTCCATACGCAGGAGAAAGTGCACCTCCAGTTAGTAACTTTTTAAAAATTGTCCCGTGCTTACTCCTGATAAAAAACCAAACCAAATCCACTGCCATCGAGTCGATTCCGACTCAGAGAAAAACCCACAGGGTTTCCAAGGCTGTAATCTTTACAGCAGCAGACTGCCACATCTTTGTCCCACAGAGCCACTGGTGGTTTCAAACCGCCGACTTTCAGTTAAGAGTCTATGGCTTTACTCACTGTGCCACCAGGGCTCCTGACAGTGGGTTGAAAATGCTGATAGAAGAAAGATGACTTGAGCTCTGACATATTAACTTAGTAAAATGGGTTCCAGAAGACTATGTACCATCCAAGTGGTTGAAACCACTGATTTTTAACTAAAAGATAATGATTCCAGAGGGCAGTTCCACTTAAGATGAAGTACACTCTACCCTGTCTCTGTCACTGAATGCAGCTAAAAGGCCTGCACAGAATGCATGCAGCAGGTATGTGAGGACTCTAAAAAGTAAATGAAAACAGGCATATCGGGGAAGGAAACCAGAACTCAAACTAAGACCAATCCAGTAGTGAGTTTTCAGCTTTTTCCCCTGTATTTTCTGACCGTGGCTAGAAGGCATCTCAAAATCCAGATCTCTGAACTGGGCGCAAAGAGAAAGACTCCAAGAGAAGCCCTCTCACTCTGGCCCAAGGACCAGGAAAGGAAGCCCCTGAGGGCCAGAAGTAATGAGGGAAATTCCTCAGGGTTTTGTTTATTTGTTTTCTGCTCCCTCCCACCCCAGCCTTCAAGCAATCCCATAGGACAGCAGAGTAGCAATGGTACCTAAACAAGCACCTAAAACTCTGAGGGAGGAGAACTCCTCTCTGGCCAGAAGAACTGTTCCCAAGAGCACTGAAAAAATTTCTTTTTTTTTGCTTTTTTTTTTTTTTCTTCTCTCTCTCTATCCTCCCCGTCACAGGAAGTACACAGAAGAGCAGAGAAACCAAATGTTGTTCCTAGCCATATCCCTACTCTGTAAAAAGGAAGCACAAATTATCAGTGCTAACATAGCTCCACTACAGTTGACTAATTTTACTATACTTGATTTAACAGTTTTTAAAGGGGGTCATTGTGTATTTTTCTGTTGCTCTGAATTACTCTCCATTTTTGCCTTCTGTGTTTTGAGATTATGTTTCTAGGGGCATAGAGATTAAGAATTGCTGCATCATCTGGGTAAAATATTCTTTTTCATCATGTATTGACTCTATCCCTGCACAGTTTGCTTCAGTTTTTATATTTAAATGGACTCACCAGACTTCCCATAGTATATTCATATAAGGCTTTTATTTAAAGGCAAAGGATACAGTGCAGTAAGAGAAAGAAATCAGGTGATCTCTTCTGATTGACCGCTAAGATCTGTGATACAATCTCAGCTTCAGGAGAGCTCAAGGAGAAATGCTTAATAGTGGGGCTTTTGAGTCCAGTTTACCACAATCAAGTCAAAGGTTTGTCAAACCAGTTAGGCCAGTTTCAAGTCACCAATAAAGAAACTGACCCTGAGGGTCACTAGGAAACACATCACAAATTTCACTGCCCTTATCTTGGCCAAGAGCCCTGGTGGCATAGTGGTTAAGTGTTCGGCTGCTAACCAAAAGGTTGCGTTTGGAATCCACCAGCCGCTCCTTGGAAACCCTATGGGGTAGTTCTACTCTGTCCTAGAGGGTCACTATGAGTCAGAATTGACTCAATGGCAATGGGTTTGGTTTTTGGTTTTACCTTGGCCAAGAGTCAAAAACAGACATCCAGGCATCCCCCAGAAATAATGATAGAGCTTTTCCAGTTCAGCTGTAAACCAACTCTATCTCTGCAATCTCTAATACTGATTTTGCCTTAAAGTCTATCTTTTGTGAAGTTAGTATTATTCTACCACCTTTTTCATGGTATATTCCTTTTCTCCCAGTATATCTTTTTTCATCCCTTTACTTTCAAATTTTCTGTGTTGTATTAATTTCCTGTGGCTGCTGTAATAAATTACCACAAAGTTGGTGCCTTAAAACAAAAGAAATTAATTCTCTCACAGTCCTAGAAGCCAGAATCCTGAAAACAAGGTGTTGACAGGATTGGCTCCTTCTAGAGGCTCTGAGGGAGAATCTATGCCTCTCTCCTAACTTCTGGTGGCTGCCAGCAATCCTCCGTGTTCCTTTGTTTGTAGACACCTCACTCCAATCTCTGCCTCTGTCTTCATATCGCCTCCCTCTGAGTGTCTTCTCCCCTTCTCTTCTAAGAACATCAAGGCGCACCCTAAACCAGGATGGTCTCTTCTTGAGATCCTTAACTACGTTTTTCCAAATAAGATCACATTCACAGGTTCCAGGTAGACATAGCTTTGATTTAGCAAAGGCTAAAGTTAGACAGTATCCCTACCATCCTACCCAAAGCATATAGTTTTACAGGCAACTAGTATTTTACTTCTAATTTACTTTTAAACTCTTCCAGAATTAATCATTACTATTACCATTGTTGTACTTTCCATTTTACATCCCACTGCTTCCTCCCACATTCAGTTTCCTTCTTATTAAAGTGCCCCTTGCAAGAATTATTTTTCATCCGGGTCTGTGACTGGTAAAGCCTTTTAGGCTTTATCTGAAAATAAAGGTATTTTCACTTTATTCTTATATGACATTTTAGCTAAGTTAACAGCTATCTTGAAGTTTCTTGAAGAAGTTATTCTTCAAAAAGGATATTATTCTTCAGTCTTTTGACGATATTCTTTCATTGCCTTCTAGCCTCCACTGTTGCTGATTCTGTCAAATTGCCATAACTTTATAAGTAATCTGTCTTTTCTCTCTCATTGCTTTTAAAGTTTTTTTTTTCTCTTGTCTTTGATGTTCTGTGCTTTCTCTAGGATACAACAAAGTGTGAGTTTATTTCTTTGATTTCACACAGAATTAATTATGCATACTTAATCTGCTTATTCATGTCTTTCATCAATTTTGAGAAATTTTCAGTCATCACTTTGAATATTGCTTCTCCCCTCTCCTCTCAATCATATCCTTCTAGCTTCCGGACCTTTTCATTTTAGCCTCATGTCTCTCATTCTTTTTTTTTTTTTTTTCCATTTCTTGAACTTACCTGCTATATTCTGGGTAGTTTATCTCTTTCTTATGCTAAATCTAGTCTGTTCTTTAATTCAAATCATTGAGTTCTTAATTTCCATAACTTTTTTTTTATTGCTAGAAGATTTATCTGGTTTTTTTTTTTTTTACAGTATTTATGTTCTTACCCCTTATGTTTTGATTTCTTCTTTTATTTCCTGATCATTTAAAACATACTCATTTAATGGTCTTTTTAATTTTCTTATATTATCTTTAGGTCTAAGGTTGCTAATCTTATTCATTATATCTATTGACTTCTAAATTGATAAATTATCTCCTCATGCAGTTTGTAGTTTTTTGTTTTGAGCTCATCTTCAATATGAATGGTTTTTGGTCAGAATTTTGTGTTTCTTTGGTTGTAAGAGTATCTCCTCAGATACAATCGCTTCTTCCAAGTACTGCAGAAAGTACACTAATCTGAGACTGGTTTTTCTTTTAATTTCTTGGTTTAGGATTCTTATGCCATGTAACAAATGTAAATTCTAGTTAAACCTGGGCATTGTGTAAGAGTAGGGCTTGGAACTATCACTGATGCCTTTTTCCATGCAGACCCCAAACCAGCTAAAAGCCTTCTTGCTGCTTCCCTGGACCAATGGGTAGTTTTTCTTCTCCCTTTCCACAGAGGGGCTGCTATTGCAAGGCCCCCAATTTATGCAGCGATCTCATGGCCAAGCCCCAGTCTTGTGCAGCTCTTATGCCACATCTTCCTTCCATGCACGCGTGATAAAATCTCAGTCCCTGACACCAAAGCCTATATCTGGGTCCTACAATCCCTTGGGTAACCACAGAGGCACCTCCTGCATTTGTCGTGCCATTTTGTTCCCTATTCATTTCTGGAAACTGAGAATTTCCTTTCATTTTCTTTGATCTCAAATGCGTATTTATTTTAATTTTTATTGTTTTTTTCAAAATTTCTATGTGATTGTACTGAGTTCATGCTAGTTTGGACAGCCATGTTACTACTACAGCAAATCCCTTCTTATTTGTTTGTTTTGGTTTTTTTATAATGTCAAAGATTATCTACACCAGCCCTTTAAATTTACAGATGAGGCAAAGGCCAAGATGGGAGGCTCTGCCCTCACAGAATTAACATCATAAGTCATTGGAGGTAACTACAGTACCGTGTGGTGAGTGCTAAGGTGAAGCATGCTGTGGAATTGTAGAGCAGGAGCCAAGGATCCAGATAACCCTGGATTGGGGGGTGAAGGACTTAAAGGAAGTTTTTATAGGAGGCGTCATCCAACAGTTCCAGAACCTCATTTATTATCAGATTCACTTAGGGAGCTTATTGGAGATTCCTCCCCACCTCACTACCCATAATGGGAAAGGATGTCCCAGCCAAGAAAACAGCACGTGTACAGACACCTAACCAATTCTGAGACCTGAAAGCATTATCGATGGGTAGAGTGTGAGGTGGGGGTTTAAGGCGGTAGCAAGAAGAGATTGAAGAGGTAACTCTGAACCAGATCATTAAGCATCATGGGAATTATGTGGAAGATTTGATACTTTTCTCTGAGGATATTAAAGAGGGCAACCACTGACGGGTTTAATCAGAGGGAATAATATGATCAGATTTGCATTTCTGTGACTTCGATATCAGCCCAATTTTCATGAACGCTTAAAGAGGCCCTGGTGGTGCAGTGGTTAAGAGCTCAGGCTGTTAACCAAAAGGTAAGTAGCTCGAATCCACCAGCCACTTCTTGGAAACCCTATGGGGCAGTCCTATTCTGTCCTGTAGGGTCACTATGAGTTGGAATAGACTTGACAGCAAACGAGTTTTGGGGGAATTAAGGAAAAAGAGAACGCTCTGGCTTACATGTTGTTTACATCTTCCTTTTGCTCTCTGGCACACTACCTCTCACTGTGGAAAGTTCATGGGAGCTAAAAAATTCATCCTGTAGAATTACCTTGGGATCAACCACCCTGGTTCCTTTTCCTCCCACTTTATACCCCCTGCAATAGGCTGCCTGTCCTACACATTATAGCTGAGTTAATGGAGAGAAATGCAGTTTAGTTATGCATTCCTCTAATTTGATGCATTTTTGAAGCTCATGGAAAATGATTATAATCTCAGAATATTTTTTAATCTTTATACTTACATTCTAAGTTGCATACACAACTTTAATGTGGATATGCTGGATGTTAGTGGTGTAATAAGAAGATTAGTGAATGTTAGACTGATAAATCAAAAGAGAACTCTTATTCGGAATTGTTCATAGACTGCTGCTTTTGTTTATCTTACAGAATTTTATTTTCTTTTTCCTTTAAGCACAGGTCTGTTATATACAGTTAAAGCAAATCACTTCTCCATCAGTCAGATTCCAGCCTAGTTTAAATAATATCTGTTGGCAGTCACTTGGAATTTTTTAGCCTTAAACATAGAAAAACTCATAAAGGATATTGTTTTTTTTAATGGGACAAAAAAAGAGAAACGATATATTAAATATAAAGCTATGTTTTCAAATATATAATAAATCCAATGCAATCCAGAAAAAAGAGAAGATGATGGTTGTTGTTATGTGGAGTCAGTAAATCAGGCCAGCTTTACAGGATGCCCTTGAATAGCCTCATGCTAGCTTTCAAAGATTCTACCCCCTTTACAAGTTTGTATAATGGGAAATAGTTTATATATTCTCTACTTAAATAATCCAACAATAGGTAATCCCTGAAATGTTGTCACATAAAATGAATGTTGAAGGCAATTTTTTTCCTGTTGACCACATTCAGAAAAACAGAACAGACATCATAAGAAGGAAAAATTGACTGAAAATAAAATTAACCTTTTATTTGCAAAAGTCAGCACCTGTTGTCCAAGAAGGTGTCTACAGTTTTTTGTCATTCACTTCCCTGTTGATGCGCTGATTTGATATGTCCATTAACCAAGAAAGAATTTTCATATTCTGGCACCCAAACTGCATCCCCTGCTTTCCCCACACCAAAGGGATGGCTTCACATATCTGGTAAATCAAACACATGAAATGCTACCCAGGAGAGCAGTCATATGAACACATAAGCACAAGGAGTTTGGCAGTAATATGTGACAAGGCAAAGTTAAAAAAAGAGAAACAGTCCTTTACACATTTGCTGTTTGCCGAAAACCAGTCTTCTATATCCTTTAGTGCAGAATCAACACAGAGTTATATGAAAACTGTAGCAGTAAATCTCATGCTGGGTTTCATGAGATCTAGGCTGATAACATGAGAATGATTATTCTTCTTGGAGAAAAAAATGAGAAGTCCCCCAAAAGCTGCCATCTATCGGTTGAGTTTAGAAGGGTCTTTGCCTTCTTTCTTCCACATTCCTCCTCCTTCATTTATTCCTTTTAGGAATAGGTGAATCATAAAAATTGTGTTAGTAACTTCAAGTTCAAAGCAAATAACTTGTGATTATCCTTGTATTACAGCCACTGGAGCTTAAGACATTAAAATAAATCCCAGTCTACATGATGAAAGTGCATTCATTACTTCTACAGCTGAAGAATAGAAATGAGTAGGTGTCTGTCCCTACCCTTTTGGATCTTACTGTCTAGGATCTTACTATCTCAATACATCCAGGCTTTTATGGGCCACTCCCTCCAGGCTTTGGCCTGGGCTGAGAGTTATGCACAATTTCCTGAGCAATAGCTGTAACTCAGCCCTTTCTTAAGCCTGATTCTAACACCTTAACGGGCTAGGATACTTCTTTTGGGGATTGCTGATCTAGGTGATAAAGACAAGCATATAAATCTCTAATCACAATAGTTACTAATTACTAATTAAAAGTTCAAGGACTTTGTAACCCAAAACCAGAGAATGTCTCTCCCCTAGCCCACTAAAGTACTTGCTGTATGCCCCTTTCCTCACTGCCACCCCAACTCTATTATGCAGAACCAAGCAATCAGTGAGTGCGGAAAACTAAGGAATCTAAGATGGGATTCATAACTCATGCAAGCATCTATGCAGCTATGAGAAGCTCAGAGAGTGAGAAGAATGGGAGAGAGGTTAGTTTAAAAAGTGGTCCTGTGAATTTTGAATTGGATCTCCTTTAATGTTCTTTGAGAGACGTAAGTAAATGTTTGAATTAATATTAATTACTTTTGGTTGACTGAATTAGGAACCCTGGTGGCACAGAGGTTAAGTTCTTGCCTGCTAACCAAAGGCTAGTGATTCGAACACACCAGCAGCTCCATGGGTGAAAAATGTGGCAATTCTGCTTCCATAAAGATTTACAGCCTGGGAAACCCTATGGGGCAGTTCTACTCTGTCCTACAGGTACTATGAGTCAGAATTCAACTTGACGGCAATGGGTTTGGTATTTTTCTTTGTTTGTTTAATTCGTTGGTGGATTGACTCTTTTAATGTGACAGCATGCTGCGACTGGGCAACATGGAGTCTCTGGATTTACTCAAGTCACAGAGAAATGTGTACAGAAGGTATCTAGGATATCGTGAGGAAAAAGACTTGAGAGGGAAAATCAAGAGGGTCAAGTCAGGATGGCCAGCATGAACAGTAGCAAAGGCAAAGAATGTAAAGATGTGGCTCGGCTTCATGGGTCATGGCTCAAGCCAGACACACAGACAGAGATGGAAAATGACAAGTAAAGAAGCCCATCAACAATCAGACAATGTTCTTTTTCCCACCTTCTCTCTAGAAACCTAGAAGTTTGTTTGACTGTATGTGCTCTGGAGACCTCTCAGGTTAGGAAGAAGCAAAACCACCTAGAAGGATGGATAGTGGCACTGTTAGGTGTAGGTGGGATGAACCTATGCATATTTAAATGTCCTAATGTGTGGTTAAGAGCTCAGCTGCTAACCAAAAGGTCAGCAGTTCAAATCCACCAGCCACTCCTTGGAAACCCTATGGGGCAGTTTTACTCTGTCCTATAGAGTCGCTTTAGTCGCAATCGACTCAACGGCAACGGGTTTGTTTTGCTTTGTTTTTTAGTTAATGTGTTTTAACTAAAGTATTTGTAAGCCTAACAGGATACAGGCAGATTCTATTCTTCCTTTGGAGAAATGACTTCTCTCTGTAAAATACCACAAATTTTCCTGGTCTCTTAAGAGAGGTAAGAAGGAGCAAAACTTCTGTCCCTAGAGGAAGCTAAAACTTCTAAACTAGGACCCTGGGCATCAGTCCCAGCTACATTTAATGGTACCAGGAAGCTAAGATAACCCTCCTCCTCCTCTCCTCCCCTCTCTCAGGCTCCTTTTACCAACCCTGAGCCTTTCTGAAGGCCAGTTTCTCTTTTTTACTTTTGACCAACAACATTTTATCTATTTGTCATTGAGCCATTTGTCAACTGATCAAATTAGCCCATTTTTCCCCTCCTTGCAATTTTTACTGCAGGTCTCCACTCGTTTTAAGATTCTATTCTTCTAACCCCCATTTATATCTTTCACATTCATGACTTCTGGCCACACTTCGATTTATACCTAGTCACCCAAGCTAGAAACCTGAGGATCAATCCTGTCCTGCCTCTCTGCTACTGGACTTCGAGTCACGTGAATTTAACCTCCTTAGTGTCTCAGATTCATTCCCCTGCTACTCACTGGCTTAGTTTAGGCCCGCATAATCTCTGGTTTGGATAGCTGCTATACACCATCACTGAGTGCTTTTGCTTGAAGCCTCAGTCTTGTCACTTGTCAAATTTAAATCCTGTAATGCCCCTCCCCCACCCTGCAGGTTAAAACCCCAGCTCTTAATTAAGCATGGCACATGGTTGACAAGATCCTTCAGGCCCTGGTGGCGCAGTGGTTAAGAGCTATGGCTGCCAACCAAAAGATCGGCAGTTCAAATCCACCAGCCAATCCTTGGGGCAGTTCAACTATGTCCTATAGGGTCACTATGAGTCAGAATCAACTGGACGGCAATGGGTTCGGTTTCTGGTTTTTTTTGACAAGGTCCTTTAGGCCTGGTCCATCTTGGCTATCCCTATATCATCTCCTCCCTCTCCTACACACATCTTCCTGTGAGTAAGTAATACAGAACGTCTGGAAATTCTTCAAATGTCCCATGCTCCTTCCTAGCTCCACACCACTGCATGAGCTCTTCCCACTCCCTGAGATGCCCTACCCCTTTTGTCTGCCTTAAGGTCACAACTTGAAACTGTCCCTAATCGCTCAGGTAGACCAGAGAGTTTCCTCCTGAACTCCTCTTGCTCGTTACCTACTCTTGCACTACAGCACTTATCACCCAGCATTGTAATTGTCTGGTTTGAACCCCTGTTCTTGCACTGTGACCTCCTTAAGTGCAGGGATAGTATCTTATTTCAGCATGGTGCTTGGCACATTTGCTGAATAAGGGAATAAATGAAGTAGGAAAGGGATCACTTAGAACATAGAAGGGTAGTTTCATCACAGGCTTACAGTGCAGAGTGCCCCAGAGGTGATCAGTGACACATCAGAGGTGACAGCTTAAGGTTGTCCTGATGTCCTTCAGGAAGAAATCTAGGTAGATGATCTCTGACATAAAGTTCTATTTAGTTCTTTTTCAAATCTGCTAAATCACTTTTATGGTCTCTTGTTCCTTCTCATCTTTTCAAGCCATCCTTAATTTTTTTTTTTCCTTTGAAACTTATAAAAATTTATATCTCATCTCCTGTCCCTGATGGGTCTCTCAAAATAGAAGCTCTCAGTCACTGGAGGTGGACAGGCTGAAGTTATTCCCCAGGATTCCTTCTTTTATTTTGTTTTTGGCTTCTGTGGATTCCTTACTTTCTTATAGCTCAGCAACTCATTTAACATGGTAGTTATGTATTATTTAGCTTTTGTAGTTGTTTTTGATGGCCTGAGGATAGCTAATCAATAAACTTACCATACCCATTGCTGTTGAGTAGATTCCGACTCCTGGTAAATCCACGTTTCCGAGTAGAATTTCACTCCATAAGGTTTTCAATAGCTGTAATGTTATGGAAGTAGATTGCCAGACCTTTCGGTTAGTAGTTGAATGAAAACCATTTGCACCACCCAGAGACCTTAATCAATAAGCTTACCCTCCATTTATCCTTGTAACAAACCCAGAACATCTTGATCATGGGATAGGCACCTGAAACCGGGTGAGGCAACCTTAGTAGCCAATTCCTCTGGGCCCAGTGATTGATCCAGGCTGAGCATGTGCTCCGAGTGGGGACAATAAGAGTCCTTCCCCAGCATTCTTTTAACTGCAGTCAACAGGTAAGGGGATTTTTTTCCTCTCCTTGGTTTTGAGCTTTCAGGATGTGATGCCAGAATTTTCAGCACCCATTTTTTTTTTACTTCCCTGGGGCAAAAGCCTGTTAGCTATGGGAGAAGTTGAAGCCAAGCAGAGATCAGCAAAGACAAGAAATGAGTTGAGAAAGCGAGAAAAAGAGGGCATTTGAGTGACATCAAATTTCTAGTTCCAATTCCTGAGATCCTTGGAGCTTCATGAGTTTCTACAGCTCTTCCCTTGATTCTGTGACAAACTCCAGTATCCTTTCAATAAATTGCTTAAGTTAGTATGAGTGGGCATCCTATGAGAACTCAGGGTCCCAGAGTCCCAGGTGGGATACTTAGGAGACAGCTTTAGAGCCACACTTTTACCAGTGCGACCCTGTTGAGGACTACCCCCTCGTGAAAATAACAATCTGTTACCTCCTCTAATTTCAAAGGAATGACTACATCCAACAGCAAGGTTCTCAGGCTAAGAGTTTAGGATGAGAGAGACTAGCTATAAGCCCTGCACAGGACTCTCGATTCAGAAGCAGAATCAAAGTTAGCTGAGATGAGGCAGTCTTTAGTGTTGTCAAAGACAAAATTAAAGCTGAAGTCCCTAAATTTGTCAGTCCAGAGTCTTCGCCAACACCTTATTCATTCAAATCAACATTTAGGAGATATTAGCTTCCTTATGGTAATTGTATATTTTCTGTTACGCCTCCACAGTTGTTGCCAAAATCCTGGCAAACATGATGTTTTGAAGCGTGACTGAATATTTAACATATTTTTAGAAGGTAACTATGAAGCAATAATTCCAGGATTAATTTAATTTTTTTTACTTTTATAAAAAAATGAACACCAAATTTTACAGAACCTTTTAAACATTTTCTCAAAAAGAAATGAGACGCAGATTACATTAGCATTTATGCTCCTTCCTTCTACTTTTAAAGATTGTCAGACTTCGAGGTTTTAAACAGTTGATAAACAAACTGAATCATAGCACTATGTCAGGTTAATTACCTGACTCCGTCTTGATGTCAAGGGAGTTTCTCTTGGTGCAATTAACTTCACCTGAAGTGGAGTCAGTGCCTGGGGATGTAGGTGTGCAGATCTTTGTTTGTAAGCTCTCAAGACCAGTCAAAATTCTAGTCCATTTATATCATTGGTGGAGATTCTGAGCTCTAACTGGGTGAAACACATCAAATGACCTATGAGCATTTGAGAGAAGAGCCTCTATTTTCAACCACTCTTTCAAAGATCAACAGGATCAACTGAAGTGACAAAGCTGGCTCTGTCTGGGATATCATTAAAGGGGCAAGAAGTACAAAAACCACCTAATCTCTCTCTCTCTTCCTTCCTCATTGGCTGTTACAACAAATTACTACAAATTTAGTAGCTTAAAACAATACAAATGGACTATTTTACAGTTTTAGAGGTCAGAAGTCCAAAGTGGATCTCACTAGGCTAAAATCAAGGTAATAACAGGGCTGCTTCCTTCTGGAGGGTCTAGAAGAGACTCTGTTTCCTTACCTTTTTCAGATTCTAGAGGCCTCCTGTATTCCTTGGCTCATGGCACCTTCCTCCATCTTCATATCAGCAATTACATCACTCTGACTTCTGCTTCCATCATCACATCTTCTCCTCTGACTCTTATACTGACACTTCTGCCTCACTCTCCAACGTTTAAGGATTCTTGTGATTACATTGGGCCCACCCAGATAATACAGGAACATCTTACTGTTTTAACGTCAGCTGATTAGCAATCTTAATTCCATCTGCAGCCTTAATTTCCCTTTGCCATGTAACCTAACATAGTTGCAGGTTCCAGGGATTAGGATGTAGACTTTTTTTCTGGGGGGGGGACAGATCACTATTCTGCCTATCATACCATCTTTCTCCCTCTTAAGCCGTTACAATGCAAAAGTATTTTTTTAAAGGTCATATCAGATAGAAATGGTGATGGTGGAACAAACTTGTGAAAATATATTAATAAGAAAAAAAAACACTGAATCATATACTATTAAAAAATAAATTTTACGGTATAAAAAATATACCAAAAAAAGTCTATCTTGACTGTATGGGTTCTATCCACCTTGCTGTTCTCTATATTGCTTTACCTTTAGGTAAGCAGGAAATATCACTCACAGTGACTACTTCCTTCACAACTTTCTCTGGAGCAGGAACAAGGTTCATGGATCCAGAAGTATCATAATCTGGAAAAATTAAAGAATAGATAAATAAGCAACAGAACAGGGAGCTTCAGGGGAGGCTTTCAGCCTCAAGACCAACTGCACACATTCTCTAGCAGATCTTCTCGTTGGCTCTATATAATTTGAAATCATCCCCAAATAAATAAAGTATACACTTGGAAATTTCCTGGGAAGGTACATAGAGAAGTATGAATGTTACATGATAGTAAATACACTGCAGGAAGAAACGGAGATATTTCAATATCAGCTGCAGTTGCATCCCAAAAGAAACCAGTAGAAGTCCCGTGTCACCAAGGAGAATCTCAGGTGAGTTTTCATGACACTAAATCATGAAAAAGATAAAAGGAGAAGAAAAGAGCTCCAAGGGTCTTTTGTCTGAGGCTACAGGCTTAAATCACACAGAATCAACTAACAAGCCTTATTTTGACAACAGAGCCTCAGTAGAGAAGGGAATGTTGACGCAAGCAGCCCAGGGGGCAGAGATAACTATTATGTGGACCACAGGTTCGGAAACTTCTCTTTGCTATACATGTCAAAATTCTACGCATAGAACAGCATATGTGTGGATGTTTGACATGAGCTCTCCCAGCTTTACTTCTCAGGCATCAACTTGTTTAGAGGCGAGACAGTATTAGAAATGCGAGTGAGCATGGAGATGGAGCGAAGGTACAATGCAACAGTTAGTACTGAAAACTGAACCTTTGGTGCTGCTATTCATGTTGGGGTATACAACAATAAAACAACTAATTGGTTCTCCTAGCTGTCTTCTGTATCTGTCTACTTACCTTAGGGGAAATTAAAAACTGACGTTGAGGAAAATTGTATTTGTAGCTATTAAAACTACTTTTATTGGCTCTGTAAAGTGCCTTTATTCCTCAGGAAATCTCATAACATTTATTAATCCTTCCACAGTGCTGTCATAAAGGACAAGTTTGAGATGAGCCTTTTTTTTTTTTTTGGCTTTGAGTTTGCATTTAAAAGGATATGATGCTGAAGGAGAGGTTTTAAGAATTTACAGTGAACTCACTGAGTTATTTACTGTAAAACTGTTCCTCACCCTCACCAAGGGAGACACATTTACTATATTTTCTCCCTCTATGCATTTACATTTCTGAGAAGCCTCCAGAAATGGAAGGAAGTGGGGAATTGGTATACTTATTCTGCAGCCTAGGAGATGCTTCATTTTTTTAATAGCTCATAATGCCAGTGGAACAGTTGAATCAAATGTATTTCTTGGCCAGAGATTGTGTCAGTCTAGCTTGATTTTTCAAACTCTCATCAATCCATTTCCACATTGCTCCTACAGCTGGATGGAGTTCACATTTCAAAGTCTCTGAAAACAGAGGTTACAAATGTTCTAGTTTTAAATGGGGTGGGAAACCCCTTTGACGTTTTTGAGGTGAAAACTACCCATCAAAGAAGTAGAGTTAAGCATGTAGAACAGAAAAATATATATATCCTAGTACCATACTTGAAAAAAAAGAAGAAAAACAGAGTCAAAAACAAAGACCCTATAATTCAACGACTACATTTGATTAATTTGGAACTTTCAGTCATTTTATTCCAATTCTCATGGGCCCTACGAAATGTTAAGACAGTCAAACCAAAATTATTCATAGGTAGATCAACCAAGCCATGACTCATCCATAACAGATTCTGAAACCCCAAATTGCTTCTTCATATAATATATCTGTGCTATTCCCCCTAAAACTCACATACACACAGTATCAACTGGCTGGTCTTTATGAAATGCAACAAAGCTTAATGCAGTAAAATCCTATTATGAGACACCTTATTCTCCCATAGATTTGAAGGATAGTATGAAATATATAATTCATTTTTTTTCCTTGCTTAAGTAGTTGGGTTCCAATGCAATTAACCTAAGTTACAAGCTATCAGGAAAAGTAAATAAATAATCAGTTCTCAAATCAGTTCTCAACCCATCTAAAGAAGGGTTTCTCAACCTCAGCACTATTCATATTTGGGAGCAGATAATTCTTCGTTGTTGGGGGGGACTGTCCTGTGTATTGTAAGATGTTTAGCCACATCACTGGCCTCTACTCACTAGATGCCAGTAGCACCGCCTTAGTTGTGACAACCAAAAATGTCTCCAGACATTGCCAAATATCCACTGAGGAGCAAAATCACTCCCAGTTGAGAACCACTGATGTAAAAAGATTCAAATATTGAGTTCTTGTTTAGGATCATCAGCTCTATTGCTCCTCTTCCTTTGTTTACATAATTGGAAGTACATTACCTTGTAAAGTCATTTATATAAAATATAGACATTTATGCAAATTGGGTCCCTAGCCTTATGCTTATGCTGACCAACGGCAATTTCACAGGACAAACACCTTCTAGATTGATGGCCAAATTGCTTTACCCACCAATCGTCCAGTGGTGTAAACCCACCTTTTCCATCATGGTAAAGTAAGTCGGCTGACATGTTACCTTTCTCCCTGTGGTGTCCTTTGAAAGCCTTGGACGTCCCTTGCAAATCACATCTGGCGTTGTTTCTTGGACCAACACTGCCATGTTTGCCTTATTTTGTGAGTTTTGCAGTTCCTTTCAATTGAGTAATAGTCGCATTTTCTTGGGAGATGCTTTTCTAGTAAAAGGCCTCTTTGACATAATGTGTTACAATTTAGGATTTTATCTTGGTTGGTTTGGGACTTTGAAAACACCTGTGTCTTTTTTATCCCTGACATACATTTATCCTGAGATTGAAAAAAGATGTTTTTAAATAGTCTCAAGATTCCTTGAGGCTTTTTTGTCTTACCTTTTTAGTTACTCCTTTCATTTTTGTTTTTGTTTTTGTTTTTTTTTCAGATATCTGCAGTTTATACCAGTACTTTTTCTGAATTTGAATTAGCCTATGATGGAGTTCTTGTTTTCCCTCTTCACCAAAATGGTGAGTTAAATTTTACATGACTCTATCAAGTCAGAATTACCTGTAGAAATCAACAAACCTTAAGGACCTGAACTCCCTGCATTCAGGGCTTGCACTGGACGGGGGAGACAAGCAGCTGAAAGACCACAGCGAACAGGGAAATGAAGCAGGGAAATGAGCAAGCTGGTGCTGCAGAAGAACTGAGACTCAGAATATGCTCTCCACCCAGCATCACCAGGAAACCAGGGACCTGGAGCCTAGGCCCCTCTGCCTCTACACATGCCACTCTGTGGCTCTTATTCCCCTCATTTTCCCCTCATGGCTGCTAGTCATGACCTCTTTAACCAAGTCTTACCTATATGCACATGAAGGACAGGACAAGGAGTGCTCAAGGCTCATGTGATTGTGTCTAAGGCCCCAGGACTGGCACTGGGAACTGGCTTAACTCTCCCAGAAACGATTCCTGAGCCCATTTTTATTCCTTATCCAGCTCCAAGACCACATATTGCCTATATTTGTGCTCTCTAAAATAGCCTCTCTACCTTGTACAGAAACCTAATCTGTATCCCGGGCACTTAAGCCAGACACATCAAATCCCAAATCCTATGTCAGTGAATTCAGGCTGGACAAGTCTTATGTTTTACTCTTGTGATGGGAGACAATTCTCTAGGAGTCTCTTGTCTTTCTGAAAGTCTTTTCAAGGATTTTTGTATGGTAAATGCCTTCAAAGATAGAAATAGTCTCTACTTCTGGAGCAAAGGGCAAGAGGGTTACTTGCAGCCCATTACAAGAATTCAGTTTCCCTAAGATTGGGGTTCCTCAGCTGTGACACAAACCCAGTGTATGTGCAGCACCCACCTGGGCCCCTCCATATTGCCCTGGTGGGTCATGGGGGGAAAGGGAATGAACACAACACAATGCCTATGTTACTTGCTGTGCTGCGAGCAGTAAAGTCCTTTGCCTCTGCCAGAATCCATGCAACTATGACAGGTTAAATTGTTAGCTTGCAAATAGGGTAAAATCTCAGACTCTTTGCAGTTCTTGACACCTCGTTGGATCTAATATCCTTAGAGTTCAATTCCAAACATGATCCCAAGCTTCCTACCAATACAGATTGGCAAGACCTTGTAGTCTTTAAGTATATAAGCTATCCCTTCCAGATCTGGTCTTATACCTCTATCTCTGATCATTAACATGGAGGCAGTAAGAAGATATAGAGATGGTTGCTGGGGGTAATAAATATCAGCTTGTATGGTATCTGTCAAGGTGTAGTCGTTGAAAGGCTTTGGGGCAGAATAGGGTTGATTTCTTCAAACAGGGAAGAGGGGCTGCCTTCACCAAAAAAGGAGTTTCACAGAAATGTGGAGGTTCAAAATTGTCAGCAGTGTCCATATTTTCTCAAATGCCTCCATTCCATGCCTTGAGATTACACTGCTTCCCCCGCTGTTTTTACCTTAGCATAAGAGTCCTTGTGGGGTTAGGCATTTAATTGATGCCACAACTCTGCAGTCCCTACAGTCAGACCCCAGGCTTAGTTTTCAGTCATATCTGTCCTGTGACTACAGGTACTGAGGCTTTTCCAAGTTTCCATGGAGGCCTTCCAGTTCTCCTTGCTTGTTCTTAATAATATGTTCAAAGTTTGTATCTTTCTTTTTTCCTAATGAACACTTTCCAGGGATGGAAGAAGAGGCTAGGTGGTTCCACAATCTTTGTGATCCTTAATATTGCCCTATCAAGCTAAGTGGTCCAGACATTTGATCCCCTCAATGTCTTACCCTCTGCCTGCACTTCATCTCATGTTTCCAATATAAAAATTTAAGGAATTATAATGTCACTACATGCTATGGATTATTCATTACGCAGACTGAGGAAAGAAGGTTATCCCTATGCATCTCCAATATATGACAAATATAATCCTAGAATCCTGTTCGGAGGGTCTGTTTTCTAAGGCCCCTCTCAGTACCAATTAATGTACTAGCGAGGGTCTCAACAGGAAACCAATGGCACACATGGATTGGTATGTAGAGTATACCTTCAAACCAATGGATGGGTATAGGGAACAAGGGATTGCAGGAACCCGGGCTAGCAACATCAGAGCTGTTGTCAACCCTGGTCAAAAGGGATAAGGGGAGGGAGATGTTACCAAAACTCAAAAGGAGAGAGAGTCATGTAGAGTAGGCCTCTTTAAGAGGAGCAAGGATCTTAGTTGAGGGACACAGCCCTTACAGGAAAGAAGCCAGGAGAATAATTAGACTAACCTCACTCTCTTCCCTCTGATCTCCAGCTGGGGTGCTGGCCAAAGCTTACTGGAAGCCAGAGGGTATGGGAACCCTGTTGCAGTGATCATATAGATCAACTTCCTGGGACAGAATACAAGGTGGATATGGAGAAGCAAACAGAAGACAAATGGCATGCATATATCCTAACTATTTTCCTTGTTTCTACCCTTTCCCCCATCCCCACAAATCCATACTTCCCAGAATCCAGAATTATCCTTTAAAATATAATTTACTTCCTGCTTAAAACTCTGTAGGTCTTCCCATTGCACTTAGAATTCCATAAAGTGCAACGTTCATATCTTGTCCTTCAAGGTTCTCTCTACATAATCTGGATAACACTAATTTCTGCAACCTCATCTAGCTTCACTTTTTCCTTGCTCACTATGCTCCAGCCATATTAACCTCCATCAATTTCTAGGAAACACCAAAAATTTTCCATCCTTAAGGGCTTTATGCTTGCTACTCATTTGTTTGGAAAGCCCTTCCTTTACTTTTCATGTGTCTAGCTTCTTTACAACCACCAAGTCTCAGCATAGATGTCACCTCCTCAGAGAAGCCTTCCATGACCACCCAATTGCAATATTTGGCTATTTCTTTAATAACACACAATTCAATCTGCGTTTATTTTATGTATTCACTTGTTTACTTGCCTACTGTCTGTCTTGCCTACTAGAATGCCTATTAGAATACTAACACACCATCACAGTCTGGTAAAGAACCCCTTATCCTTCCCAAACAAAAAAT